TATGATTACTGGACAGTGTCAAGGTAGAACAGATATACATAATTAATCCATAACAAAAACAATAAAACTTTAATTTACAGTGAAATATATTGTATTAATAATATGTTGTAACCACCCCAAAACAATGTTGCAACTGTCCCCGGCTCCGGGGTCAGTTGCAACATCTGACTTTTCATTTGCAAATGCAAATTGTGAAGAATGTACATGATTTAATCATCTATAAATGGTTTTGACTATTAACAGACAGTTTATTGTATTAAAATTTGGTTTGTCTATTTCAAACCATCTCTGAGTAACAGAGTCACATGCAAAAAGGGTTGCAACTGTCCCCGGTCTCCCCTATGCATGTTTACTCCTTTTTCTTTGAAACCTCAGCTTGTTGGTCATTTGGTTGCAAACATTTAGAATTCAGTAAGACTGAAGCCAAACGTTTGCCAGTTTTTTTCTTTTCACAATAAACGAGTCTCCAACAGCAGCATCAGCAGGTCGCAAGGCATCTTTCCCGAAAGGGATTACAACCAACAGCTTGTCCTCAGATTTGTGTTCTTCTTGGCTCCGACAACAAAGGGGAAACTCTTGCTTCAACACAACTGATGAACCAGTTTACATCTTTAGTTTTTGCTGATTTCATGAGTGAACGTGGCATTAGGCTCCTCAGGCAAACATATGTGCGGAACGTTTTGATAGAGCACTAAAAGACTCGGTTCAGGCTTCACAACATCTGGACTTATCACATCCCAACATTGGTGAATCCCCTTTCTAACCCCTTAGAAGGAACGCCAACGGGGACAAAACTGGACCATGTCAGAGAAAAAGTGGCTTGACGAGCCAAAAGTGCATGTTACACAAACAGAAACAGAGCAGTCAAACCCACCAAAATCACTGTTGGAGCTACAGTCAGAGTGTAGAAGTAGCAAACAGTTAGCAACAGTTAGCAACAGTTAGCAACTGTTCTGAAAATGGAAACACGCATAAACCTGAATAAAAGGTTACGTGTTTAAAGAAGTTTGTTTAAAAAAAATGTGTTTGTGGAAAAAAAAAACTTTACGGGGGTGATTCATGATTCTCCTTTTTAGTGCTTCCTGAACATCAACTGCTCCTGAGAGAGTTTGTATTGTTTGTTGTTCTGATAAGGTCCAAGGCCTCAAACTCTCAGGTCCTGCTTGGCTGACAAAGCTGTGAGTTTATGAATGAAGTCTTTTTATAAAGATTTTTAGAAGAGAATCATGTTGGTTTTTGCAAACTTACAAGAGTTCCTGAGTCCATGCAGTGATGTCCAGAACAGATCTAGACCTGTTTTCAATGCAGTGGCCCCTGAGGGCCCAAAGACCATGACCATCTAATACTGATTTTCAACCTTTGAGCTCAGAGATTTTCTGCAGATTCTTTAAATTGTTTGATGAGATTAGGAACTGTACATGAAAATATATTCAAAGTTCTCCCAGTTTTGCATTAAGGAACTTAAGCTGCTCCATATTTTTGATGTAGTGTTTTTTTAGACTAGTATATCTCTGTGTAGTTTTACTTCTGGAAGATTCAACCTCTCTGAAATGCTCCTTTGACATTCATTCCTCTGCCTGTCCTGTTTCTAATGAACCTAATCGGTTATGAAATGTTTCTCCAGCTGTTTCCTATTTGTACCACTTACTTTTACAGTATGTTATCCTTACTTTTACAGTATGTTATCCTTACTTTTACAGCATGTAATCCTTACTTTTACAGTATGTTATCCTTACTTTTACAGTATGTTATCCTTACTTTTACAGTATGTTATCCTTACTTTTACAGCATGTAATCCTTACTTTTACAGAATGTTATCCTTACTTTTACAGTATGTAATCCTTACTTTTACAGCATGTAATCCTTACGTTTACAGCATGTAATCCTTACTTTTACAGTATGTAATCCTTACTTTTACAGCATGTAATCCTTACTTTTACAGTATGTTATCCTTACTTTTACAGTATGTTATCCTTACTTTTACAGTA